GCTGGGGGGGCGGCTGCAGATCCGCTCGCAGGCGGGCGGCGGCACCCGCGTGAGCCTCTCGCTCCCCCGCCCGTCGGGCCGCTGAACCGGTGGAGGCACCCCATGAAAATCGTTCTGGCGGATGACCATTCGCTGTTCCGGGAAGGGCTGTGCGCGCTGCTGGCGCGCGAGCCCGGGGTCCAGGTGCTGGCCGTGGCGGCAGACGGCAAGTCCGCGATGCAGCAGGTCCTGCAGCATCGCCCCGACGTGCTGCTCACCGACATCTCCATGCCCGGCTTGAATGGGATCGAGTGCATCCGGCGGTTGCGGGCCGAGGGCTCGCCGGTGCGTGTACTGTGCCTGTCGATGCATGCGGACGATCGCACCGTGATGGCGGCCATCGACGCGGGCGCGTCGGGCTACCTGCTCAAGCAGGCCTGCGCGGCAGACCTGATGCAGGCGCTGCACAGCGTGATGGCGGGGCGCGTGTACTTGAGCGCCGACCTGGTGGGCCTGCTCGTCGAGCTGACCCGCCGCAAGGACACCGCGGCCCCCGATACCCCCTTGACCCGCCTGACCGGCCGCGAGCGTGAGGTGGCGCAACTGCTGGCTGAAGGGCTGACGACGAAGCAGATTGCCGCACGCCTGTTCGTGAGCGGCAAGACCGTCGCCACACACCGCGAGCACATCATGGCCAAGCTCGGTATCCGCAGTATTGCCGAACTGACGCGATATGCCATTCAGGAAGGTTTGAGCCCTCTGGATATCCGCTGAGGCGGCGATTTTCCGATTGAGGAATCAGCTGCCCGGCGGGGTTTTATCAGTCGCGTGCTGATATGGATCGAAGGGCCTCCCAACTATCTTTTGGGTGTGCCGTGACGGGTTTTCTTCCTGCCAAAGCATCAGTATCTGGAAGAGGTCTTCGGACAGATTCCGGATATTGCCTCCCCTTTCGATGTGCGCCAGCTCCTGGTTGGGCGCGCATCGATTCATCAACTTGATTGGAGTTTGGAAATGGCAAACGTGGACCAAAGCGTTATGTGGGCGAAGCTCATGCAGGCGATGCAGAGCCAGCTCTTCCCCAGCGGGGTCGGCACCGGCACCACCTTCTCCGCGGCCTCGGTGGCGCGATCCATCAACCTCAATGCCACCGATCCGGGCGTGACGAACTACGGGATCTACTCGCTCGGCGACGTGATCCCGGCGAACAGCCCGAACTACGCCCCCGCTCCCAGCGGCCTGGCCGCGTCCTACATGCAGTTCCTGAGCTGGATCGACCTGGGCGGCGACACCAACCCCAACCTGCAGTCGCAGCTCAACATCGCGCTGAACGGCGACGGCGGCGCCAAGCCCGGCCTGATCGCCATCCAGGCGGGCTACAACAAGACCTACAGCGATGCCGCCGCAGCCTATCTGGCGGCCAAGGCGACGGCGACTTCGGTGGGAGACAACATCGCTGCCTTCAAGACCTGGGTCCTGACGAACTACCCGTCGCTGGCCACGGCCCAGAGCCAGCTGGCGGGCGCCCAGTCCGTCGTCGACCAACTGAGCAACCAGCTCTACGGCCCGGGCTACCAGCAAGTCCAGCTCGCGCGGCAGATGGCGGGCACCAGCGGCGGCGCCCAGGACATCATGCAGCAGGACAACTACAACATGCTGATCACGTCGTCGACGCTGATCCCGCCGGGCTCGTCGGCGGTGGTGATCGGTGGCGCCGCCCCGACGCCGGCCGGTCCGTCCAACGTTCAGTCCTACGTCCCGCTGTACCAGCTGGACACGGCCTACGCCGCTACCTACGCCGAGTGGCAGGCAGCCAGCGCCGCCGGCACGGTCGGCACGACCTTCCACTTCGATTCGCACAGCAGCGACTACGACTACAAGGCATCGGGCTGGAATGCCTCGGCCAAGGCCAGCTGGTCGTCGTTCTTCTGGTCTGCCAGCGCGTCGAGCACCAGCAGCGCCACGACACTGAACGTCGACGCCAGCTCCTCCGACTTCAGCGTCGACGTGTCCTTCGTCGGCGTGAAGGCTTTCGGCATCACGCCCGGGCCGTGGTGGCAGAACGGCTCGCTGGTGAGCACCTACCGCAACAAGCTCAAGCCCGGCGCCCCGGACTTCTTCTCCGATGACGGCGCCATGGCCCGCCGCGCATCCCAGGTCGTGCTGGGCTTCGAGCCGACCGTGAAGATCACGATGTCCGCTGCGGACTACAGCCGCGTCAAGAGCGCCTGGCAGACCCAGGCCAGCCTGTCCGTCGGCGTGGGCCCGTTCAGCTTCGGTGGCTCGGGTGGTGCGAATTCGTCCAAGGACCAGATCCATTACGACGACGCCTCCTCGTCCATCACGATCGGTCCGGTCAAGTCCACGATGCCCGTCCTGCTGGGTGTCGTCAGCAGCCGCCTCTGATCCTGCGGCCCCTGGCAGCATCGGGCCACGGCCCGGTGCTGCCCTCTTCACCACGACGGAGCGTCAGCATGGCGATCGAGTCCAGCGGATTGGATGCGGCCTGGTCCAGCTGGGGCGAGGCCCTGGTGGCCACCCTGTTCCCGGCCGGTTTGGGTCCGCAGCAGCGCTTCTCGTTCGGGCAGACGACCCTGGTGGCCGACTTCGTCAACAACGACGTGCAGGTCATCAACGCCCAGCTCTACGGCATCGGCGACATCGTGCCCGCCACGGGCCCAAACTTCGCGCCGCTGGCCAGCCTGAGCGATGCCTATGGCTTTTTCCTGCAGCGGTTCGCCCCGGCCAGCGTGACCCGCGAAATGGGCAGCTGGCAGCAGGCCATCAGCGCCACGGCCACGCCGTACAACATGCCGACCCGGTCTGGCGCCGCCGTGCCGGCGGGCATGGGCCAGACCGGTACCCCGTCCGACACGGTCTACCTGCCGGCGTACTTGCTGGACAGCGGCTTTCGCGCGAAGTACGGCGAATGGCAGGTCGCCAGCACCACCGGCCGGACCGATGCAGGCGGCGTGATCCGCGTGCGGTCGCCGTCCAAGGCCAGCATGGCGCTGGGAGCCCACGGCGCGGCCAAGGTGGCGCCGGCACCAGCGCCAGGCTTCCTGAAGCTGCGGCCGGGCCTTGCCGCCAGCGCAGCGCTCCAGGTGGCCGCTACCGCCGGGGCCACACCGACAGCCCTCGTGATGCCGCCGGGCCTCGCGGCGGCGTCAGGCAATCCGGCGGGTGCGGCGGTGGCGGACGACTACGAAGTCACCGTCGCGTTCACCGGCCTGGCCACGTTCTCGCTGAACCCCGCGCCGTGGTTCAGCGAGACGACGATCCGCATGCTGTCCGATCAGCTCTCACCGGCTGACCAGACCAAGTTCTTCGGCCCCGACGGCATCCTCGCCCGCCGCATTTACCAGGTGGTGCTCGGCTTCCAGCCGTCGGTGAGCTTGAGCTTCCCCGACCCTGACACCCATGCCCAGGCGCAGGCGCTGCTGCAGGCCGGCCCGGGCGGCGGCGTGGATGTCGGTCCGCTCAGCTTCGAGGCCGGCAGCGCCGGTGTGTCAGCCAACGCGGGGTCGGGCATCACGATGGGACCGACACCGTCGACGCTGCCGGTGCTGCTCGGCGTGGTCAGCACGACGCTTGCGACACCCATGCCCAGCAGCCCGCCCGCGGCGGCAGGCCCGGCGGCCCAGCAGGAGGCGCCATGACCTGACACCTCACACCCCGTACGACGGCAATGCCGGCTGGACAGGCCCGCGTCTGGCGCTGCAGGGCGCGCAACGACCGGTCATGTCCTTCGCACTGGCTGCCCTCCACCCCATTCGTTCACCCCTTTCGTTCACCCCCGGCCATCGCCGCATGCGATGCCCCCATCAGGAGCCCACCATGGTCAACCTTCAAAGCACCCCGATCACCAACACGCTGGCCGTGCGCGCCGCGCTGCTCAACCAGGGCGCCATCGTCGCCACGCTGGACCCGGGCGACGCCCAGGTCCTGACGCTGGTGTTCAACCAGGTCATGCTCGTCAACCCCGGCCATCCGCCGGTGGTACGCAACCAGAACCCGGTGGCCAACGTGGCCGTGACGCCGGGCAACGTGGCCTACCTGATGGCGGGCGGCGGTGGCGTGGCGCTGAACTACGCCCAGCCGAACGGCCCCCAGCGCACCGTGCAGTTCACCTGAGCGACTTCGCGATCAGTGCCCGTGGTGGTGCGGCTTGCGCACCTGCACCTCCGCCCCGGCCGG